ATTCCCTTACCACTCAAGTTCTTACCTCAAAGCTGTGCACACCTGCTTTGAAGATATTACTTAAGCCACAGTTTGCTCATCTGGGAGCAGAGGAGAAGAGAGAGAAGAAAAAGGAAACTGAAACTTTTAAACCAAAACTTCACATGGTTTTCACCTCTGTGAGTTAATTTGCATTACTGTTGGTTTTACACAATGTATGCCTCAGACCCTTCTTAGTGGAGGAGGGAACTCCACCAAGTCCCAGTAATCTCTTAATTTAGATAATACAATAATGAGTGTGATGCAAACACTAGCAAAAGGCTGACTGTTTGGTTTAGATTTATTAGTTCTCATGTCCTGGACTTCACCAGCCCCGTCCATTAAAAGTAGCAGCACACGTCTGTTACTTCTGTTCATTATATAATATTTCCCAGTATTTTATACAGAACCACAGAATTGCAGGGTTTGGAAGAGACCTTTGGAGATCATCAAGTCCAGCCCTCCTGCTAAAGCATGTACCTTACAGTAGGTAGCACAGAAAGGTGTCCAGACAGGTCTTGATGTCTCCATAGAAGGAGACTCCACAACCTCTCTGGGCAGCCTGTTTCAGTGCAGTCACCCTTACCATAAAGAAGTTCTTCCACATATTTGTGTGGAACTTCGTATGTTCCAGTTTTTGGCCATTGCTCCTTGACTTGCCGCTACACACCACTGAAAAGGGTCTGGCCTTATCCAGTTGCCTCCTACACTTTAGATCTCTTCTCAGTCTTCCATTCTCTAGCCTCAACAGCCACAGGTCTCTCAGCCTGTCCTGAGACAAGGCTCCAGGACCTTCATCATCTTTGTCACCCTCCACTGTATTCCTTCTAGGAGATCCCTGTTGTTTTTTTTTTAACAGAGGAGCCCAGAATTGAACACAGGACTTCAGATGTGGCCTCAGTGAGGCAGAGCAGAGGGGGAGGATCACCTCCCTCGACTTACTGGCTGTGCTCTTTTTAATACACCCCAGGATCCCACTGGCCTTCTTGGCCACCAAGGCAAACTGCTGGCTCATGGCCAACCTGTTGTCCACCAGGACACCCAAGTCCTTCTCTGCAGAGCTCCTCTGCAGCAGGTCATTCCCTAACCTGTACTGACATATGTGCTTACTTGTCCCAGGTGAAGGACTCTACACTTACTTTTGTTGAACCTCATTAGGTTCCCCCCTGCCCAGCTCTCCAGTCTTTCCAGGTCTTGTTGAGTGTCACACAGCTTTCAGCTGTCAGCCATTTCCTCCCAGCTTTGTATCGTCAACAAACTTGCTAAGGCTGGACTCTATTCCATTATCCATGTCACTGATGTTGAACAAGACCAGACCCAGCACCAGCCCCTGGGGAACACCACTAGTTACAGGCCTCCAACCAGACTCTCTGCCACTGATCACAGCAATCTGAGCTCTGCCAGCCAGGCAGTTGTCAACCCACCCCACCATCCGCCATCGTAATGAGCAGAATGTAAACAAGCGTTAATTCTGCATCCATTTTAGTCTTTGTTCAAACCTAGTGTAGAAATGGTGATGTTGGAGAGCACGTTTGCTGTATAGAATCAAATTCAAGTTTCTGTTGCCATGTTTTCCAAAGAGAGCTGGTTGGGAGCAGACAGCAAGGTTACATGCTTACTGTAGTTAATGTTCTGCTTATTCTTTGTTTTGTTAGAGGCACATAATGTAAATCAAGGTAAATTTTGTATTATCCTAGGGTCTTTTTTCTCTCCCTTCTTAGAAGGCTAGCTAGGGAAGGCTGACACAAAGATAAGTAATCAAGTCTAAGACATGATATTGCAACATTTCCGGTTGTAATGATCGCTCAGAAGAATCTCTGGAGAAACCAAACATTAATGCAATTTGCAGGTACTGTTCATTGTACTCACTGCCTGAAAATATGGAGAAGTGACGCACTCCCAGTGAGTCTGATTCTCCAATGAAATCTGAATTCCAGGCTGTTACTTACTTGAGTTTTTGTTGTTCGTTTTTTAATATCAGTTGAATCATCTTCAAAACATTTAGATATTCAATGAAACTAGAGACTGTCTAACTGATATTTGTTTTAAACAGACAAATTTATTTTTGCTTCAGTGAATTGTCCATGAATTTCTTCTGTCATACTCCTTTTTATAAGCACCTGTCTATTCATTGTTTCTGACTTACTTATCCTAAGTGGTTTTATCTTGTTTGTGGTGATATATGCTTATTTGCCATACTATAATGTTTCTGCTGCCTGAATGCATCACTAAAAGAGCTTATATAAAGTTACGATATTTTTTTTCTAAATTAGCTAAAACATTCTGTTTTTAATTTTGGAATACATTATTTTTATTGAAATCTGATGGATGAAGCTAAATTTATGTGATCTTTCCTTTAAATTATGATAATCTATCGTATATCCAGTAATGTAAGTGCAGGAGTGCTAAACTGAACTGATGCACTGTTGTCCAAGAAAGGTTATAAGTGTATGGATTTTGTTTTTTTTTTTTTTTTTTAGTTTTACCTTTTGGGATTTTTTTTCTTTAGTAATTGAAAATTGTAAAAACTCCACTTTTTTATGGTGATAAATGATATTTTCTACTGAAGAGCCCTTCAAAACAAATGCTGTGGCTGTCTTCTAGGTTCACTTAAAGCTTCTCTGGTAGTTCAAGCAGACGAAAACAATGTGTTTCTAAACAAATCATACATATGAGAGCAGAAATAAAAACATTTTTAGGCTGTGTAGATAGTAGTTGACTACAAAAATTACCTCTGCAATGGATCAGAAATTTCCATTTCTTAGTCTTAGAAAACAAACTAAGCAAACAAACATAAAATAACAACAAAGAACAATTTATGTCATGGATCTCAGATATCCAGTTCTCTAATATCATATTCTGTAGTGCTAGGGGATATCTGGTGGGTGTTGTTTCCTAGTCCCTTTCCCCAACTCTATTGCATGTTTTCTTTTTTGGAGAGGGCAATAATATTGTCACTTTTGGCTGCCATGTCCCTGGTGCTGGGGCTTTGGCTGGTCTGTTCAGGAACTGCTCTGTGCAATCAAGAGACAAATCAAAGGTTTTTCTCTTGTTCATATGGGAAAGCCCCAAGCTTCTTCAGTCAACTGCTTGCCAGCTAGTTATGAGATCTCATGAAGTGGTGCTGGCAACAGGGAGGAGAGGCGGTTTGGTTTTTGTTTTCATGCTGTCACTTTCTGGAATTGCACAGAGCAATTGTTACAGTAGGAATGCATTTGATGTGGAGGACACCCATGCTGTACTCGCAAAAATCTAGGAGGGGAGAAAAACATGACCTAGAAGCCATAATGCTAGTCAGGATAGCCATTAGCAAAGCCTTTGAAGATAGGAACTAAGGGATAGGGAGTCTAAGTCTTTGATTGCAACTCTTTGTAGGGAGGACCTGAAGGCAGTAATAATACTGTAGTACACAGATTCACAGGCTTGGAATGTCACCGTGGCTTTAATAACCCAAATAATCCCCTTTTCTTGCATTCCCAGTTGAAGATAGGATTTATTGAGGAACTGTAATATGTCTGCTGCCTTTTCCCTCTGTTTTCAGCATTTAACAGTGAGCTAATCAATTATATTAAATGCATATTAATTTAACTCATTCTTCTTATTATTCATTTAAATAGCTGCTCTGGTGAGAATGTTGGAAAACTGACCTAATATGGCAACTAAGGCTTTGTTTATACTATGCAGTTTTAAATTAACTTTTGCAAGAACGGCTTTTATCAATGCCAATTGTGTTGTAGCAGCAGTGACTGTCTCTGTTTAAATCAGCAACGCTGCAAGTGACTCCGAGTGATGTGTGAGTACTTGCATTGTTGGCACTGGGAATATGTGGACTATATCATTTCTCTGCCATAGTCCTTCTGGTAACCTAAAGTTCGAGTCGTTTGACCTTCCATGCCTCTTGTCACCGTGTGTAAAAATGGGAATAATAACACTTCATTACCCTAACCCTAAAATACCTGGAGGTACTTTGCTATTACAAGACTGGGGAAGGAGTCATGTAATTACATGGGTAGAAGAATGCATTTGTAGAAAGACCAGATGCTTAGGCATACATGCAAATAGGAGATTAAAAGCTTCTCTTCATTCTCCCTCCAATGTAATTTTCTTCAGATCGGAATACTGCACTTTGTACTTTTACAGGGATAAAGCTGAATTATCAGAACAAACTCTAAGCTCCCCTAAAATATCAAAGCCTAGGTCATTATCTTAATGTCTAAGCTAAGCTCGGCTAAGCATGGCAGACCCTGGGCTTAAATTGCCAGAGATTCATCCTCATTGCACATGGCCAGAAACCCTGAGTAATTTATTTGGTGGAGTTGCATCCTTGTAAAACACATGCAGATGAAATCAGAACAGCAGCTTCATGTTTCTGCTGTTACATGAACATTTAGCTTCACAGACATATTTTTAATACAAATGACCACGCAAACCCATGAACTGTGCATATTTTTGATGAGTGCTAGTTATTTAGCTCATTCTCATTCCTTTTCTGTGTTCTGCAGAATAAAGTATAATTCTGTCCTCACAGGAATAACTAGATTTACTCCACGCTAAACCTTATAACTTTTGTGTGGTGTTGCCTTCAGATTCACTGGAAACCCACTTGTCCAGATACGACCATACCTTCTTCTGATACTTAGTTAATTAGAGACTCTAAGTTGAAGTAAGAATATTTTTGTTTTCAACACAGGAATTCATTTTTAAAGTTGACTAGGCTTAGTCTGGGGTGTTTCTTTAGTGTTTTGCACCGCTGCTTTTCCCACTGCTTTCATTCCTTCATATTGCTTCTGTACCATAAGCCATTGCCTGTAGTTCTCAGCAAAGCATTGCTGAAGTAGAACAATTGCACATGTAGAATATCACTATATTTTTTTTTTTCCTTTTGTGTGTATGGACTTCACAGTAAGGTTTGAGGAGGCAAAGTAGGTTGATCTACTTAGGGCACGAGGTCCAAGCACCGACTGTTCCGTTTCTTTCGCTAGATGTCTCTGCACCAGAGGCTGGAAGGAAGTCAGCGGATGGCTCTGTGGCAAATGGCAGCCTGGCATCGCGGGGGAAGCAGAACGGGGCCACGCAAGTGACAGTGCAGCGGAAGAGACTCCTGAAGGCTCCCACGTTGGCTGAACTTGACAGCTCAGATTCGGAGGTAAAGCATCAGGGCGGACCTTGCTTCTTGCTTGTCAGAACTTAGTCCTATTCCTTAATTGGCTGAACCAATCGGCTAAGTGTCTACGTAGATTGCAGTCTGAATTTTATGTGGCTGCTTCAGAAATAACAAGATCAGGTCTCAGAAATTAGAACATTCTTTAAAAAGTTAAATGATAATTTTGTCCTTAATCCCAGTATTCACTCTTTTTATTTAATGCCCGGTATCTGTCCATAGTGTATGTGTAGCAGTTATGCTTTTGGGAATGTAGACAATTGTTTTTCACCCTTCTGGCACCCTTGCAGGAGCTGTCATTAAAGGCCTCAGATGTGAGCACAGCCCTACCATACCAGCTATTAAATAAGGAGAATCAGCTCTGTCAGAGAGGTTGCAGTTCAGTGCAAATTCAGTGGGTAGGCTGTTACGTAGGCTTAGGAAATAACACCCAGCAAATGTTTGCAGATAGAGATGAGCAGATACTGCTTAGATGGAGAAGCAGCTTTGAATCCATTCTCTTTCAAATAGAGAATTAATGATTTTTAGAAAGCACTGAAAGGAGAAAGGATTAAAAAATCTCTCTAGTTTAAAAGCTACATTGAGTATAGCCTTTGAAAAGCACCAGTATTACATTGTCAAGAATGCATTTTGTCTTTTGGCCCAGTACTATTACTGAGATCGAACCTTTCTGAAAGTTAAACTGTCAGGAAAGTCAGGGTTTATTTAGAGAGGCTAATTTTAACCAGGGGAAGGCAGTCTTCCCTGACTCTCTTTCTCTGTATTAAATGGGGAGGGTGGGGTTTCCTGACAAGCGCTTACAAAGGTATCTCAGCTGAGAGATAGGAGGCTGGGGAGAAATAAAATTGGAGATAAATGTATCTTTTTGTGTACTTTCCTTATCTCTGTGAAGTTGACCCTCTTTGTGTTGGGGGTTATCCTATGGGTGACTTGTATGTGTGCATAATTTGGTGCATCCATACTGAAAGCAGAAGAAATTAGCATTCTGAAATCTCTCAGCAGTGTTTAAAATTACAATAGAGGCTATGTGAGGTTTTGTTAATATTAACAAAGCTGGGCAGGACACAGGAATATTGAGACTTGTCAATGAAAGAATTGGATTTTGAACTCTAATCTTTTCAGCTTTTAGGTCAGTGCCTCCTGAAGCAGGATGATATCTCACACAGAAAAATGAGCAGAAATTAGCGAAAGAAAATTCTGTAAAGGGAAACATTAAGCAATTATTATAGGAAGGAAAAATTCAATGTATGACTATGAGTATTGATTAGGAATACCGTGCAGGCAAGCAAAGTCATATAGAAAAAAGCTTTGGGGCATAGAGCAAAAGATAAAACGAAGAATAAATCAGTCACATCAAATTGTCACAGAGAAGAGGTGCTGTATTGGTTTGAGTCAAAAAAAAGTAGCTGGTGAAGCAATTAAGAATATTAAAATGCTCAAAGGAGTACTGGTAGGGTTTCAGGAACAGTGCTGAAGTGGTGTAAACAAACATAATGGAGGAGTTTGGATGAAATTTAACAGACTGGCAAAGGCATATGGGACATAGAAGATTTGAAGAAAGTGAAGTGTGGTCTGCCAGTATATCTTAATTGCTGAATTTTATTTCTGTGTAACAAGCTGAAATGTATATGTTGTCCTGTTTGTCTATAAGCATCTCAGGCACCTCTTTGCCTTCAGTTTGAATTGAGCTTAACCTACTTAGAGTTACTCACTGGGGGTTAAATTATGATTGTGTTATGTCCTAAATTACAGGCTGCAAATATCTGTACTGCTGAGCTACAGAGCTCCAAATAGGCTGTGATGCAAATGCATTTTTTTCCCCTGAATCCCCTTTGTCCTTTTCTCAGCTGTGTTGTGATGCTGACTACGCCCCAGAGCTCAGTATTGCCAGCCAGAGGTGAAAGGTCTGATATAGCCCTGTATCCATTTGCTAGCAAGGATGAATATTGTACAAATCCTACTATCTATCCTTGTTTTTTTCTGTGTTGCTAATAAAATCGTGGATTCAAATGGGGAGCAGGAAGAGCCATTTTGCTTTTGGTTAAGAGAAGTAGAAGTCATTTTTTATACAGATATGAAAATGGTGTCTTCCTAATTTTGTCTGGCAACCTGGACAAAAATCATGTCAGTAGTGTAGTCAGATGTAGTGATACCTTTAAAGCTGCAGCTTTCTCAGGACATTTAATATTATAAACATATAAATTATATATATAATGTTTAAATAATATTATTATATTATAAACTTAATGTTATAGTTATTCAGCTCTTAGTGAAAAAGTACACAATTCCAATTGTTGGCTTTATCCAACTTCAAACATGAAAAGTCATATTGTCAGCCATAATAGTTAATAGTTACTGTACTGATACAAAGAAGTTTGAGTAATCATAGGTCAGTAATAGCATTTTCAGTGCCTGAGTTTGTGAAGAGAAGTAATTTGAAATTATAAACTTGCAATACCTATTGTCTAAGTAGGATAATATGTCAAACAATGTACTCCTGGCTTCCATTCTCCCTGGGTTGATAGTTTATGCTTAGCCATTGGCTCTTGACAGTTCGTTCCCTATCATTCTTTAATATAAGAAGTTTAGCTTCTGGAATCTTTCGTGTAAGTCTTTACCATAGAGAAGCCATTTATTGCCCTGTTTTTGTCTATTTCTTTCACTCTCTTTTTGAGGTTCTTAGGCCACCAAATTAGCCCCAGAAAAACTCAGATGGATACAGTACAAATTAGTGAGTTCAACCATTACTGATGATGTAGCTAGAGTTTTTTCACAGAAATGGGGAAAAGATGGAGACATCCATGTGCTACATAGCTTTGCAACATCTAAGATATCCAGCTTGATTTCAGAAGTGGTGTGAAGAATAGTTGTTTTTTAGCTATTTCTTTCAGTTGAAATATGGCCATTAGCAAGAGGTAAAAATCTACCATAATGACATTTTCAGTTGTTCGCCTTGTTTCTTATCTCCACACCAGTGTTTCAGGCACAGGAGAAATGCAAGAAAAATGAGAATCAGAAAAGCATGTGAATAAGCTCTGTTCACAAACTCTTGTTTGAATCATGATTCGTTCTTCTATAAAACTACCATATAGAACGATAAAAAAATGAAACACTTGAAATTTTTGGTCAGGACCAGGTAGGATCCCACAGAACAAGAAACTTCTGGAGCAATGCGTGCTTGGATTGTGCTCCACAGAGAGCTGCTCCCCACCTGCTCCTCTACAAGCTCCCCATCTACTCCTCATTGAAGTGCTGGCTGCTCTTCATTCACAGAAATGAGCAGCAGAACAGCATGGTTATGTTTTTTAATTGATGGCTTGCTTAGTTCTTCATCTTAGCCTTCTAGCTCCTCTGGCAATGAAAAAGTAATCTTTTAGATGAATTTGACTTTTACAAATTGAATAGTTTAATGGTTCACTTTCTACAGGAGTTTACAGAATCTAAATATTGAACTCCGGACTTTGAGCACTGTTGGACCACTTCTAGAGAGCAGTGCATTCAGTTATCTTGTGAGTTCTGCAGTGGTCTTTTAGGGCAACCATGAGGTGTGAAGCAGTGAACTGCAAAGATACCCAAGTGAGCTCTGTTGCTGAACTATACTGGTTTGTGCATGCAAAACAGCTGCTGCAGTTAAATATGCTGTTTAGACTTCCCTACAATTTTCCCATCTCAAATGTCTGGAAGAGACATATTGGATATGTTAAAGAGAGTACATTGTTTTGGGATCTTACTCAGTTGAAGTTTCTTTGCAGAAGACTGTCTTGAGGCATATACAGTGTTACAGTACACATCACATCACAGTTTCTTTACATACATTGCATACATGTCCTTGGGCTAAGCAGAAAGTACAGATCACCTGATGGCAATTTATTTAAGGCCTCTGTCCTGTGATGCATGGTATTCACTTAGGTGACCCTGCCAGCTTTTCTTTTCTGACTTGCTGTTACCAAAGGCAGCATTCTTTCAGTTAGCAGGGATTTTCCTGCTTGCAATTCAATAATGAGAGAAATCTGCGTGAGAAAGAGAGGCTCAGCCACTTGCTGGATTTTTGAGCAGGCCACCTCTTGTAAATCTTGACAATTTAAGTGATGTGAAACTCCTTGGTTAAAAGAATTCACATTGGAGCTAAACAGCATTCACAATCAGTTCAACTCTGTTCCTTGGGGAGGCTCTTGTGATTCATGTATCTTACTGGTATCTGGTGGCTGAAGACAGGGGTTTGAGATGGAATGATTTGGTGATTTGGGTGGCATAATGCCTTAGATACCTGACAGGTGTTAGTCAAAGCCTGTTTCACCTTGGGCTTGACTTTGGCTTCTGTGATGAAACACAAAATGAAGATTTCTTTTAAATACATAAGAAAGGAGAGAAACACACTGGGATTAGTAATTACAGAACAGTGCCATGGAAGTCAGCTTAATTTTTCTTTTCTTTAGTCACTTGTATGAGTACCTGTTATTCCTTTGGAAACTAGAGGAATCCAAGGACTGATTCCTTGCTAGTGTGAGACACAAAATTGACTTACTGCATTTCCTGTAGTTAAAAATCCTTCGAAGACCTTGAGTAAATTACTGGTGGAAAAGTAAAAGGTCACAGTGGATTTGTTTTGATCCTATTCTTTAATATGATGGTTAAATGCACTGAATTCCAACCATGTATCATTTATATTCCAGTTTTTGCAAAAGCTGAGCTTAGAAAATCATACAGCGCTGTGTAGGGTCAACAATTTTTCTCAGGACTTCTTCTAGGTCTTTGTGTGGCTTAATGTGGAAAAGTGCCTTTGATAGCTTGTGATTTCTATGTGCTAAGAAGCAGTAAGAGAAGACAAAATAATTTCTGATGAATTCTATTTCTTCTCATCTTCCCACACAGGAGGAATCAGTGCACAAATCAACAAGTAGCAGCAGCATTTCCCCCTCACAAGTGGAAGACCCCTCTCAGGAAGGTACCAGCAGAAAGAGTGAGTTTTAGAGTGCCTGCTTTCACCTACTTCTGTTGCCTTCTGTTATGTGAACTTTGACACTCATACAGAAAGCTGAAGCTGAGTGTAAAAGGAATAAGTCTGTAAATCTGAACCCGGGAACACACTGAATAGGTCAAATGCAGTAATTAATGAGGGGAAAGTCTGTACTATATGTGGATATCTTTGTGAAACAGAAAACTCATATTTGAAACTGTCAGGGAATTGTGAAGGAAGTCAGAAGTGCATATTTCAGCTATGTTCATCTCAGAAGGGTTTGTTGCTGCAGAAACATATTCTAAACCAATCTAAAAGCAAATTTAAATGTTTTCAGCACCTCTGACATCGATGAATGTACTTGCTTGAAAGACACCCAGTAATCACCAGTATGTCTCACAAGCGAAGTACTTACTGTCAAGAGGGGAAAATCTGATCTGTTTGTTTCAGACAGTTTATAGTAGGCTTTACTCTACAACAGGATTTCCAGTTTCACTGCAAAGCTTTTGTAATTAAGTACGTAATCTATGCACAGTGGTGAAATAATTTGTATAAGTCAGTATCTTGGCACTCTGAATTTTTATGTGAATTTAGTGATAAATGGATAGTAGCATGCCTGTATTTGCTGGTCTTACAAGTATTCCTGTTCTTTCAGTCTTGAAAATGTAATCAGTGTGATACTTGTATTGAAGAGTACGGAAGTGTAATTTGAGCCCCCAGTGGTAGGAATTCTAGGAAATCAATGACTGTTTCAAGTACTGAGCAATGTTATCCAACACTCTGTCTTATGAGAACTAATTCTTTTATGCTGGTTGAATCTTTAGCACCTCCAAAGTTCTTGCCCATATCATCTACACCACAGCCAGAGAGACGGCAACCACCTCAGAGACGACACTCCATTGAAAAGGAAACTCCAACCAATGTCAGACAGTTTCTACCACCTTCAAAACAGAGCTCCAGATCACTTGTAAGTGGAGTGGGTGGTAGGAGAGAGAAAAAGAGGCATGCTAAGAGTATAATGAAAATTAAAACTTGGCTTCAGTGTGATTAGAACTTGACTCAAAGAAAACTCCTGAATTCAGAAACAGCCCTGGGCTACTAAAGACATTTTGAAATCAAGATTTGAACTTTCTGATTAATTCAAAATCCCAGGTACAGATGCCTCGGAAAATATTTGCACTTTGATTAGGACTCTGGATAAAGCCATGTGCCTTGCTTTTATTTCAGAATATTACCAAAACAGGCAACCTTTGCCTTACTGATTTTCCATTTGAATAGAGACAATTCTAAAGCTCTGGATTTTTTTAAATGCTTTTTTTAATTATTATTATTTAGTTTTTGGCAGCATTTTAGTTAATGGCTGAATGAATGAAAGGGCTTCTTCTCTTTCTACTGTAAGAATTTGTGTGGTTAATGTTTATACATGCAAAAGCTCTTTCAGTAATCCAAATCAAGGTTTGTTTATGTTGCTTTGTTGAAGTCACTGAGGCAAAAAACTGTATTACTACTTGAAAAGAAAGTACAGTACATTTGATCAATTAGTTTTAATTGAGAGCTGTTTTCCAACAGAGTATAAGCAGTAACAGGTATGAAATCTTGGCTCTTTTATGCTGACCTACTGATTAGTGCTTTGTAATTTCATGCAGGATATGTTCCTCGTCTCTTTTTCCTTCCAGCAGGGTTTTGAAGTACACCTCTTGAGGTGCTGGTGAATAGAGAAATCAATAAACATCTTAGTTCTGAAAGGAGAGGAATATTCACTCGCCCTGTATTTTAGAGCAGTGGTATTAATGGGCTTTGAAGGGTGTTCTTGTTCACCCAGCTAGTGGTGGCCAGGATTTGAACACATTAGTTGATGATAAACTAGCAAGAAAATAATCTCTAGATATTCTCACAACATGCTTCCTCCATTTCAGAGGGTCTGCTGGATTTTGTTTATTATATCTTTCCACAAGAACGTAGTTTCTCATTCATGGTGAAGGTGATGTAGTAGCATGTTGATTAACACAGCACAGGTAGACTTCTACTGAAATGAACCTGGAGCATAACGCATTGCACCAGAATCAGATGGAGGGTTCCTTCGGTACGTGTTTGAAGATGCTCTCATATAAAATGGATCGTTGTGAGTGCCTGCTGCACTCAAGGTATGGGCAAGTACAGGATTTATTTTCTGATAAGTCCACAGTCATTCCCATACACACTGCTGAAAGGGAGGAGGGGAGAAGGCATTGCATGTTATACTGAGGCATTTGCTCCATCGCTTTTTTAATCCGTAGAATTATGGTGCATCATTATAATATTGATCTCATCTCATGTATTTGAGGAGATCATACAACTGAAGAATCTTAATTATGAGGCTTTTATTTTGAAAAGGGAAAACAAGTTCTCAACCTTTTTGGCCACATATGCATTTTCATATATATGCCTGTTTCTAGGCATATGCTCACTGACATATGCCTAGAAAAATAATGTATAAAATAAAACTGCTGCCGAAAAATTAATTAAATTATTCAATTCCTGCTAAAGTATTAAAGAAAAAGGGAGAAAAGACAGTAGGTATGTCAGGGAAGTGCGGGAACACATGAGAAAGATTTTACTAATTTCTTTTCTACTGGACTTTTTGATTTCCAGATAGCTGTCACCTAGTTGGTTTTGGCTATGGAGTGAGAGAGAAGGAAAATCAGCAGTGAAATTATGTTCCTTTAACAAGAACCTGTCTTATTTGATGCCTGGAGAGTAAAGTCTCTGACTTGGCAATAGTGCCCTCTAGGGTGTGACAGACAACACCCATAGTCCTTCTGGTTTTAGTTTTGGTAGGTGATTTGTGGTATGATGGCACTGTCCTAGTTACACTTGCTGGCTTCCTGCAAAGCCCTTCCTTCCCTGAAGGATGCCAGCTTGTGTCGGTGGCCATGCCGGGTGCTGTATGTGTAACCTTGCTGTTCCCTCAGTGAACGCTTCACAATACCCGCAGAATATGATTTATTTTTTATTTGACTTCACGCTTCTTCATCCCTTCCTTCAGGATTGATGGAGTTTCATTTCTTATCACTCGCTCCTGTGACCGCAGTTTCTCTTCAAGGTGGAAGAGGCCTCATCAATAAAAAGCTCTCTATGCCAGAGCAAACAGGCAGGAGTTTGCTGCAGTCTCTTAGCAGGATTAGCAAGAAACTGGTCTGTCTTGCATACTAACTATGGTTTTGTGAACTGGCATCTCATCAGACAGAGGGAGTTAGAGCTAAGCAGCTGGGGAAGGGAAACAAACTTGGTAAAAGGCCGAAAGTCCTTTTGATGTGTCGTCTTGCCAGTGCTCCATGGAAGGCAGGTTTCTGTGGGGCCAGCCTGGTGGTGTGCTTACTGCAGTGAGCTGACTTGGTGCCTAATCAGAGATGAAGCTGTGTCCTGATATGTACATATGAATGCCTTTGTAGTTTGTTTGCTTTTTTTTTCTTTTCTTTTTTTTTTATCAACATCATCATTATTTTTCATGACCTAGAGGACCAAAGCTAATGATTTCATTTATACACAGCATTCGCTTCTCTGCTTCCTATCTATTGTTCAGGTTCCTAGGATAAGGAGTTTATTTCCAAGGATGACTTTCAGACCACTTTTTTCAACTATGCAAACAGCTTCTCTGCTCAGCTCTCATCCCGTTGAAGCAGCCATGTGTGGGGTGGCAGGGGCTATGTACTATCTCTGTGAGAGAGCTTTTGCCAGCAGGTGGAAACCCGCAAAGGTTTGCCTCTTTTTGCTGGCTTTGGAAATCACCTTCACCGGCATGTTCCCTCTTCGGGGAGCACTTCCTAAGCTGTGGCAAGAATTAAAGCTTAGGCTGGGACACTGCACCTGATTGACATTGATTTCAGTGTGTGTAGGATATTTGTGTGTCTTCAATCACCTCACGGGGAAAAGAAATCAGTTCTGAAAGGACAGCAAACTAAAAATGCAACATCACGAGATTGTCAGTGGGACAGACTTTAAACTTCACAGTGCATGAAGATCCTGCAGAAAAAAAGTTAAAAAAAAAACAACAGCAAAACTATTGTAATGCTTGGACTATGTTGAAAAGAGTGAGCCTTTGTGTTTCTAATGAGAAACATTCAACACCCTGTAGAATGGAATGACATTTGCAATCTGTTTCACTTGAAAACATGCAAATGGTTTTGGTCCTCAGCACAGTTTTGTATCAGAACTTAGAAAATAATTCCTAACTATTCCTAGGGAGGGCAAGCCCACTAACAAGAAAAAATGATTAATTTCCCCCTATGTAGAATCAAACAAATAATTGATGTTTTCTTTTGATGTCCCAACTAATAAGTGAGAGTGTAGTCTTCTGCAGGAGAGCTGAGACTCCCAGATGAACTTTCAGTCTGCAAAATCAATGAGAGCTTAGAGTGCTTGACTAACCATGAAGTGCAGAATTGAGAGTCCAATCTGGCACATGTTCCTATTGCAATTTACTGGTGTAACTCATTTGACTGCCCAGTGACATCTTTTAATGAGAATTTTTACAAGGAATATTGTAAAAAAAGATAGGACTGATCAGGTGCATTATGCTGAGAATGACCTACAGAGCACTTTATTTCACATTATAATCCTTATATAATACATAATCCTTACTACCTGCTTTTCCTGAGTAGAAGTTACACATATACACCTTTTAGCTATTACAGTATGTAAAATGACTGTAAAGTCAAAGCTTTAAGCCAATTCTCATGAGGATCGTGGAAACTTCAAGTTTAAATTAATATTTTTAAATGAGATTATTTCCTTTCAAAATAAGAATACCGACTCATTTGAATGTTAAAGTGAGTATTGAGTACAATTCCAGAAAATCAAGACCATTCAAATCACATTTTGTCTATAGTACATTCTGTCATATGCAGGTTGCGCAGAGAACTGAAGTTCTCTCATTTGCAGCTGCCTGACTTGAGCAGATCATTGCTGAAATTTGAGTAATAACCCCAAAGCATCATTGTTTAATGAAGTTTAGTCAATGCTTAGTGTAATTTTAATTAATTTCAGTGCCTTACAGCTAGTGTCGAAACAAAAGATTTTCTTGTGTACTTATTTCTATGCCAAAAAGGGAAAAAAAAATCAAGCAGTTTTCTGAAATCAGCATAATATTTATCTTTCATTTAATGTTGCATTAACATTTTGTTGTCCTTGTGTAACCTCTGGAATTAAAACATTAGCATTTAAACATGTGAACATTTTTTGCTATGTTTCCCCTGTTGCCTGCAACTATTTCCACGTGCTGTAGCAGTAATCATTTTTGATGGTACAGCAGACCCACACTATTCCGCTGGTAGCTGCTCTGCACCTATAGTAGATCTACAGACTGTCTTCAAAGGAGCAATACTCACTGACATCATCGTCCTATAAATTAATGGAGCGGGTGCACATGAGGGGGAAGGAAGTGCCTCCAAGTAAGAACTGTGTTTCTAAAGGACCTAAAGCTCTGATTGATGAAAAGCATTCAGCATCCTCATTCACCCCAGTCAGTTTCTCAGTCTCCCACGATGCAGAACTGAGGTTTTCTGCTGGCAGTGTGTGCATCACGCTTTCCCACCCACTTCCTCTCCCATCTCACCCGGCCCGCCGGCGTGCTTTCCCTGTAGCGAGGCAGTTGCTATGGGAAGGACCAGAATGAAGTGCCAGTTAGCTGTGAAGTCTCATAATGAAAAGAAGGCATTTTGTTTGGCTGTGCTGCGTTACACCTCAGAGCAAACTGCAGTTGTTTTTGACATAGTTTGTTCTTTCCAGAAAACTAGCGCCCATACACTCCAGAGCTTTAGCTGGCAAATCTAACAAAGTTAACTCAATTCTAGTCTTTTGTGGGATGCCTTAAACAGAGCGAAGTTTCTTTGTGTTCCCTTTCTAGATAGGTAAGACAACAATTTTTAAAAATGTGGTGGTTCCTAAATGCTAATGTTTGCCAGGTCTGCAACGTAGAAAGATTTTCTTTTTAACATAATGGAAAGACAGAACCGAACTTTGGGTCTATGTAAATTGAATATTTCACAATTAATCTGAACCATCTCTTCAGTGTATAAATTAGACCTCCAAACTGTCGGCCGTGTCTTTGTATTTGCAGGAAAAATTTCCTTCCTTTATTCAAAGAGCATTGGATGTCATTGTCATTACCACACAGCAGCCCCTCTGGGCTCACTGAAAGGGTTCACTAAGCATAAGGCAATGGGAATTCCCACAGAGGTTTCTGTCTTTCTGTTGGAGCTGTATAATCAACTACAGGGCTGGATTACAAATTGGGTTGGTGCTTTTATTCTTTGGTACCAAATTCAGGAGTTCTCTACTCAATATTCTCCATCACGATGTAATACAGAACGTACAGAAATTGTGTCAGTGGGAAGTTGTTGGGTCATTCTCTATTTCATTCTTTGCCGTTCGTAATCCAACACTGGGTAACCAGCTCTCTATTTGAAGGTTACCCTGTGAAGCTTGAATGTAAAGCTTGAATTGTAAAGCTGTTACTTTCTGGTGGCAGAAAAGAGAGCCTGTCTGCCTGGATTGCCGTAACTTTTTGTTGTTCGATCACATGAACACCAAGATGTGGTACCACTGAATAAAAAATTCTGCTAGAATGGGCTACTACTGACTTTCCTCAGCCATTCTGGGCACCACAAAGTCTCAGAGAAATCATGTGCTCTTAAGAATACTTAAAGGTAAAACCATGTCCCAAATTACCTTTCTGCTTTTTAATTATAAACCTAAATGTCAATTAAAATCAATATTTGTAGTGAAAGAAAATGGAGAGAAGATTCAAATTGCTTGAGGAGGGAGGATAAACAAAACTCATTGTGGAGGCTGAACATCGGACCATTGAGTTCACACTTTCGTGGTTTCAGATGATTTGAAACTCATGTGATGCCCATGAATGAGCCAATGCTATTGAGGGGAGAAACTCTTTTTCTGGAGTTACTAACCAGGTGGTTGGTTGTCTAGGTTGAAATGAAGAAGAAGCAAATTTGCTTTTGAAGTAACATGGATTTTTGGCTTCCAGGAGGAGTTTTGTTACCCGGTGGAGTGCCTGGCTCTGACGGTGGAGGAAGTCATGCACATCCGTCAGGTGCTCGTGAAGGCAGAGCTGGAAAAGTACCAGCAGTATAAAGATGTCTACACTGCTCTGAAGAAAGGAAAGGTATGGCTGAGCCCAGGAGGCAGCACGCGGGAGGTTGGTTGCACAAACCTCTCATTTACATCTTCAAGCTGGTGGAAAGCTGGGAGCAGGCATCAGAGCTTGCAAGTTAGATTGTAAAATCATAGAATCATAGATTAGCCTGGGTTGAAAAGGACCACAATGATCATCTAGTTTCAACCCTCCCATTTGTTTCTTACCCTGTATTGAAGAAGACAGACCACCAAACTTCCCCTTAAATTTATTACACATGGGTCAGCTTGTGTTGAATTAGATACATAAACATAAAAACTTTACACAGAAATACCTTACTTACGCCTTCTATAGAAATGCAGCAGTGTTTGTGGAAATCAAAACATATCTGTATATTTATGTTTTAAATTTCAATAAGGTCTCTTCTGCCCACATCTTCTGCAGTATTGCTTAGCATTCCTGTTCCAGAAAATAGAATTACAGCTAGCAGTAGGAAATTACAAGAGGTTTTTTATAAGTAGCCTATCTTCCTCTATATCGACAGAATCTTCCCTTCTGCACTTAATTCCCATTTCTAGACTAGGAACATTCATAGTCTTTGTGACCCAGTAGCAAGTTTTCTCACCTTATGAAAGCTCCTGGTGTCTGGTTAAAGTCTGGGCCATACTCTGCTTGGTTAGAGGTTTGCCTGGCCCGTACATGGCTTCTGTCTCCAACTGTTAGGTGGGGCACCTGGTGTGATTTCCCCCATTGCTTTGAGGTATTTCTTCAGGCTCCACCCTTCCTGTGCAGTGCATCTTGTGAGCAGTGTCCTGTGCTAACCAGCAGTTTGAGCTTTGCTGAGGCATTTCTAAGTTAGAAATGAAGCACGCTAGAGAACTGCCAGTACTTGAAAACTAAAACAATTCTAAACATGAAATACTGGAGGACCCATTAACTAACATTTTTTTTCCTGTGAATTGCGGATTGGGGATTGATATTTACCAGTAGAAGCAATGTCTTTTCCCCTTCTTTTGACTTGTGCTTCTCAAATGCCTCCAGTAAGCATATTTTGACTGCATAATGTATTTTAACTACAGGCTGTGATTAGTATGCAGAAGTAAAGGTTTGATTGATTTAAGGCAGCAGAACCAAAATCTGAAGACTTCAATTAGCTGTGGATTCAGTTGTTGCATATTGTCATGTTGCATAAAGCATAGTAATGAGCTTTTATCAGATCTCATAGTGAGTTGGTGCTTTAATTTACCCCACTATTAAAATTGTTCCCTTTTATTTTTAATCAAATTTGTCTAGCCTCACATCCCTGTCTTTGGATCCCAGTGTGTCATCTGTATGACAAAAAAAGCTTTTCCTTGTTCAATGCCTCTTCTTCATGTAAATGTTCATCACCTATAATGCCTACCTCCTTTCAATGAACCAAACAGGTTTTCCTCAAGTAAGATAGCTGTAGTAGCTCATTTCTGGACCTTCTCTAATGTTCAGGAACATAAGATTGGATCAGAATCATCAAATCTTATCACAGGCAACTACTTAGTATTCCAGAATCTGGCACAGACGATTAGGAACAAGAACATTTAAAAGAATATTTCTTAATATATGAAGATACAGTTCTTTTCGATATCCTCTTGGAAGCATGAACCCCAGAACTGCATGTAGCATTGTGACAGTGGTCACACTGATGGCAACTGACAGACAAAGTCATTGTTGTGTGGAACTTGTCTAACATGGGAACTTCTCTGTTCTTCTTTCAGCTCTGCTTTTGCTGTCGGACAAGAAGGTTTTCTTTCTTTACCTGGTCTTACACTTGTCAGTTCTGTAAAAGGTAAATATTTAGTATCTGTTAATAAATAAGTACCATTGCAGAGTGAAAAATGTGGAGTTGTACCCCACATGCTGCGTAATGTTGATTGTTTTCATTTAACAGTCCAGGTTTAAAAACAAGTTTTCTAAGTATGCTGAAATGGATCTTTTGTAAGTGATGTGCTTCCTTGGACTGAAACTCAGACTCTTTAGCAGAGTCTGTTGTGATAGGACAGGGGAAATGGTTTCAAACTTAAAGAAGGGAGATTTAGATTGGATATAAGGAAAAAGTTTTACAGTGAAGGTGATCATGAGACCAACATGTAGACACTGAAGGCTGGGCTGAATGGAGCTCTGAGTGACCTGATGTAGCTGCAGGTGTCCCTGTTCATTGCAGGGCAGTTGGACTAGATGGCCTTTCAGGGTCTCTTTCAACTCTGACGATTCTCTGATGTTTGATCAAAAGTAAAAGAAACATTAATTTCCCCGTTTTTCCCCCTTTTTTCTTTCTGTAGCTGTAGTTCTTGTTTAGTATTCCTCTTCATTTTGGCTTCATGTTCTAATTAAGTTTTTATATTGATGAAACACTAAAACAAAAGTGTTTGGGTAAGGAATTGGGGCATTTATCCCTTATTCTTGATGTCAGTAAAGCATAGCCCAGTTAAATGACTCAGGCTTTCATTTTCTTACACAGGCCTGTATGCTCACAGTGCTGCAAAAAGGTAAGTAAACACATTTCTGGTTCACTCCTTTCTGAAGAGCTGTCGTCTTTGGAAATGATACTGCATGTTTCTTATATTGCATGTTCCTTCTATGCTCAACAGATGCGATTGCCATCAAAGCCATATTCCACTCTCCCCATCTTCTCACTGGGACCTTCCACCTTGCAGCGAGGAGAGAGCTTCATGAGGCCAGAGAAGCCCTCCACCAGCCACCACCGGTCACTGCGGAGCATGCCCAGGTGAGAAGCAACCGTGGTCACCAGTGTGCATTGGAAATGCCTCTTGCAGTTACAAACTCCAGTGCCACAACTAGAGCGAACTGGAACATAGGAGGTTCCCTCTAAACACCAGGAGCACTTCTGTGCTGTGCAGGTAACGGAGCACTGGCACAGGCTGCCCAGAGGCTAAGGGCTCTTCTCCTTGGAGGTCTCCAGAAGCTGCCTGACCATGGGTCTGGGCACACTACCCAACTTTACACAAACTTCCAGCTAGTGACTTCGGCTGTCTTCCTGAGCCAGGGGTCATTTTTGGGATAGGAGGAAACAGAACGGTTTTGAATGCAGTTGTTTTTTGCTGTTTTCTGATCCCAGGGTGCTCTCTGCAATGCTGCTGCATATTGAGACTGGTCCTGCTGTTTTGCTTTTCAGGTTGGCCTCAAGGTCCAAATCTGTGGATAAGTCACATGAAGAGCTGCAGTTTCCCAAAGAGTTAATGGAGGACTGGAGCACGATGGAGGTGTGCGTGGACTGCAAGAAGTTCATTTCAGAAATCATCAATTCGAGCCGGCGCAGCCTGTCCCTGGCCAACAAGCGAGCCAGGTTAAAAAGGAAGACACAGTCCTTCTATATGTCATCGCCAGGAACCTCTGACTACCGCCCCTCTGAGAGAACTATCAATGAGATCTGAGCCTCGTGCCTTTTTCTTTGCTTTTGTCTTCATGAGGTCATTGTCTGTAGGAGAGGTCACCAAAACAGGGTTATCCTTCCGTTGCTTCGTTTCACTCGACTGGCTTGGATCTGCATTCAGTCACAGAGTTTCCTACTGCCATGTTTTCCAGAGTTGCAGAAGCTGTGTTTTTATCTGGACAGAATGACATGCAGCAGGTCAGCTGCTCACACTGGGAGAAAATCAACAGTTTGCAATCGTTGCCTCTTTTGTATGCACGCATTGAAACTAGAAAGCCTTTTCTTGCTTTCAGTCTTTTTTTTTAACCATTCTTTGAAGCATTTTCTGGAGTTGAGCTAAAACATGTGCTTAACGGAGAACCCGATCTAACAAAGTCAGTGCTAGCACAGTAGCAAGCAGTAAGTCATATTGGCATTACCAAGCTAGTAATGCTCACATCCTGCTTTCAGAGCTCACCAGGCACTGGTGTGAGTGGCTGTGCTCCGAGCAGTCCTTCTTTGAACCATCTCTGTTGCTCTGAGGTCATTGTCTGACATGTGACTGTGATGTCTGGGCCCTGGGGCAGAAGGTGTGACTGCTCATCGTGGGGCTGCTGCTCTTTGACGCCTCAGTGCTGCCCTGGGTGTATCTGGGAAGGTTCCAGGAGTGCACTGCCTACTTGAATGTGTGATGCCAGGTACTGGTGGTAGTGAATTCCGGTGGTAGGCGGAGTTGTACAGCGGATGGGGAGGATGGGAAGCAAGAGAAGCTCCTGGTGCTACTGGAGCACCTGTAGCATTGTTCCTTGGGTTGCTCAGGGGACAGGAGGGCAGATGTGTGCATCTTAGCAGGCACAAATCCCACTACGGCTCTGCTGGCAGTGTGCCCACCAAGAGCCCCATTTTTGCTGGGGCCATAAGTTGGCTGCAGGGACCCATGTTTTGCTGAGATTTGGGGTGACGCTGTCCCAGATTGAGAGCGATCTCTCATTTCCCCCCCCTTGATTCATTCTTTTTCCCTCTTTGCTTTGCCCATAGAAGAACACCAGGCCACTGGGTGAGATGTTCCAACGACGCTACACTGTTAGCTGACACCATCGCATGCTTTTTTGCACTTTTTTTTTTTTTAAGTTGAAAAACTTTTTTTTTTAATGCAGGCTTGACCAGAGTTTAGTCTATAATTTGGGTCTGGATCATTCTGGTGTTTAAAACTAACATAGTTAAGTTGTTAATACTTGAAAATCAACTACTGTGACCTTTTCATATATTTCTAATACTCTGAGGCATATTTAATATCGCTATAGCAGTGTATTATAGGAGGACATAGCAGAAAAGTTTCAGATCTATTTATTAACATTTTTACACTAAGGATTAATTATGAGCGATACCTCAGAGCTGCATGGAGCAGCGGGGCTGGATCTGCCCCATGGATTCCAGCAATGTGTCCATCCCACAAGGACCTCGTGCTGGCAGAGCCTGGGCAGGGCCAGCACCACCATCCGTACCATACGTAGGTTGATTTGAAAAGCCCCTTACACCTCCACACAGATTCACCCACCTGTATTTTTCTTTCATTGCCGCCTTGGGAAATGAGAGTTTAGCAGATAGAGAGCAGTGGCGTGAAGTGAGCCATGGGCAGGCAGGCAGGAGGCCAGGGCTGCCTGAAGCCACTGCTCCACTGCTGCTAGGAGAGCCCCTCATCTCGGTCACATCTGCACTTTTTCTCATTCCTGTGCCAAAAGCAGGCCTCGTGTGTTTGCTGCATTGTGCATCAGGAAAACTAGGCTGAGAGAAACGCATGAACTCTCGCTCTGAATTTCCCTGCTGCTATTCTGATCATTTTCTCCTGGAAATGCCCTGGCCACGTGCTCTGCTTGCTCCAACTCCACTCCCCCTTGGCAACGCAGGCTGCTCAGGCCCAGGAGTCCCGCATGCCCCTTTCCCCCTTCACAGGGCGTGGGGCAGCACCTGGCAGCCCCCAGGCCTCGGCCCACCCCCAGCGCCGGCCCTGGGCACCGCACAGCGTCTGTGGGCCCAGCGCCACGTTGGTATCGGGGTGAAGCTTGTAAATACATGTAATATATTTATTGACATTTAGGAAGCCTCCATCAGTCATGCAACAGGAATTAACTTTCCACAAAGTTTAAAAACAAAAAAACAAAACTATTTATACGCGTGTTGGCTGTTACCTTCGTTAGAGTTAATGCTTTCAGCCCCTCCGACAGTCTGCGCTCTGTAGGCATTTTAGAGTGAATTACTGCTGAACGTGGGGCAGCACGGTCAGCTCCTCCCAGCAGTTTTTAAAATCTCCTTATTTTTGTAGCTTTGTTACGATGCCCAAGGTCTGTCCGAACGTACCATGGGGGCCCACGGAGCTGAATGGCACACAGCTGTGTAGCCTGGGGTTGGTGCTGCCGCTGCTGTGATGGCAAGCGGGGCTTGGCTGCAGTGCTCCCATGCAATACACCTGACCTTGCAAATGCTCCTGTGACTGTATCATTTCTGGGGGCGGTTGGTGGGCTTATTTCTCCTTTCCCCGTTATTTTCTTTATAGTGGGAGGGATGGTACTGGGTGAAAATAAAATGCCTTTCCATTACAGTCTTTGTTTGTGCTAATTCTTCACGATGGAGCAAATGACAGTTTCTGTCTTCTTTGCTGTACTTTTTACAGTTTTGTGAAGAACAGGCAGCCTTTTCCTCAGGCAAGGGTTTGTTGATGAAAACAGCTGAACACCATTGGAACAGGGGCTGGGAATTAGGGGAAAACACTTGATGGCCCATGAGAACAGCACTGACTGCCTATGCAGCCCAGCAACAGGGCAAGTCGCAGCCAGTCACTGCACGTGACACCAGCCTGTGTTACTGCTCACCGAGGCAGCCAGCAGACCCAGATGGAATCACAGTGCAGACAGAGGGCAACCACACACCACTGAGCAGCGAGACAGTGGCTCCCTCTGAGCTCTAGGAAGCCACAGCCTTGTCCAAGTGCTCCTGAGCACAGAGTAACTGATGGTATTTCTGAAGACAGCTCTGAACACTGACAGCCCGTTTTGTATCTGGAGTACACCCAGAAGGTTTAACCGAGGCTGTCCATTATTTTAGATAAAGAGTACCATGGCATACAGAGACACATTGCGGACTCCTGGCCATTATAGCTCACTATCTAAGGAGATATAAAATGGTAATGGTGCCACCGACTGCTCCACTTGGGGATTTCAGTCAAAGGTATACAAGGACAAGATGTGAAATCCCAAAAGATTTTTGCCCCAAAAGGTAAACTCCATCAGTAATGGAACAGGAGTGCAAAGCAGCATGCTTTAGAACCAGCTCTGAAGAGTTAGGCTGAACCCAGAGCTACCAACCCAGTAGAGCCAAGGGACAGGACTCACGTGGTCAGAGCAGAAGTGGAAGCTCTGTATGCAAACCTCAATGAGCAGAAAGCAGAAGAGTAAAACTCTCCACAGAAGCTTACAGAAAATTAAGAATCACTTCATCTGCTACACACCAAATCCCACCTGTACGCACTGCCAGCACGAGCAGTCACAGGGAGAACAAGCCCAGGGCTGCAGGAGCATCACACATCCCAAAGGTGATGTGAGAAACATCAGTGCCCTCCTGGCTGCATAAAGGCTGCCAGGAGCTAGAATTGACCTCAGGGAGAAAGCAATCTCCTTCCTCCCCAAAGGGGCTTCCCTCTTCCTTTCAGCTCAGAGCCCAAGACAAGGTGCTGACCCGTGCCAAGTGGAGGGCAGCAGAGAAGGAAACATCAAGCACTTCGCTGTCTAGATCCTGTAGCACGATGTGGAGAGAAATCAGCCCCAAACCTACAGCAGGGAAGGGAAACAGAAAGGAGATGCTGCTACACAAGAGAGTAAAGATTTGTTCTGGAAGAAGGAAACAAAGGGTGAGGAAAGAAATTGATCAAACTGATGCCCAGCTGTACTGATCCAAAAAGCACAGCAGCCAAGTTTGGCTCTGGGGACAACAAAGGATTCTTCCGGGATGGCAGATAGTGCTGGGAGGTGCCATATGCACATCATTTATATTTAAAACAACACTGAGCACATCTGGTGTAAGAAGCAGCTTTAGACAATTCTTCCTCTGAACTAAATCAATACATGAACATCAAAAAAACTTCTCTGTTGCCTCACAGTTGAGGCTTCATCATCTCCCATAAGCACTATGGGAATGCTGCAGATCAGGTTTCCACAAGCACACACACTTACTCATCTCCTGTTCTGCTCAGAACTCTGCCATCACTGCACTGCCCTTCCTACCAGAGGTCACTGGGTGCTGGGACAGCTCCTGCAGTCCTTACACAGGAAGCAGCACCACTCCCCTGAGAAGTGCCACAGCAACAATGAGCAGCAAAGCCAGCCACAGTACATCACAGGAAGGAGCTGCTACCAGGTCAGGGTCTGACGTCCTGTGCCCAACTGAGAAAGGCTTTAGGTCCACAGAAGAACAATGCAAATATTAGCTACTCAAATAATTGCTAATCATGTAAATTAAGTTTCTTTATTAGAACCATGTCATTTACCTAGACTATACTTACATCCAAATTAATGTTCACTTTCAAGCTAAACAGAATACAAAGTCTGAGATTTCCCTTAAGCACACAGACATTCTAAATTACCAGATCCAAACAGTGACCAACATTTCACCTTTTTTTTTTTCAAGAAGCTCCTCATGCTCTCACAGCTCCCTGAACACATGCTTGTCACCTGAGCAAGTAAACAACTTTGCAACATTTATCTATCTCAGTTTGTGTGTGCACAAAAAAATAAAGTAAAACGCCCCAGCAGAGGGCTATCTAAGAAACACCAGCTACTCTCGGACCAAATACAAAAGCCTTGTGAACCTCAGACAAAAGCTGGAACTGGTACCAGTAAGTATCTCTGCATATTTTCAAAGAGGCAATCTCCACAATTACTGCAGTATTTTGGCAGACAATCAGAAGCATTTAAAGCGTTTCTAAAAACATTTGTACCAACGTGGCAAAGTGTTGAAAAAATGCATTACAGCAAAAATTAGTTGTTTGTAGAAAGTGCTTGAAAAGGAGAGCCCAATTGTTCTTCCTGTGCTCTCTTCTTCCCATCTGCAGCACAGAAAACACACTGATGAAGGATTGCCCCTTGGATTTCAAACTTCTCATTTGAGCTCTTCATTTCTTGCAGCCGGCTCTCCCTCAGCTAAAAGACTGCAGGAAGAGCAAGAAGCAGAGAACAGCAGAGCCTCTTTGTTCCAGCAGCCTGCAAGCACCCTCTTATAGATAAATAACCCACGTGTTCCACAGCCCCTCCTGCTCCTGTTCTGCTACTGAGGGGAGGAACTTGGGAAAGTTAATAAATATGAAAATAAATTACACCCTTCTCCCCACAAAGTAAGAAAAAAGAAAAAGCCTGTTTAGGCAGATAACATCAATAGAAACTCTCTTTGGATATAAACACCTAAGAGGTAAAGCATCTGTGTGTCACATTCAGACAGCACAGTAAGCAACATAACAAGAGCCAGCGCAACACAAGTTTCAGCTGTAGGGGATGATTCTCTAGATAGGCATCTTTAATTCTAGAGTATCATGCTCTGTTTCACGTAGTTTCCTTTAAATAGTTTTAAGAGTACAAAATGGACAAAATCTAGTGCTCTCAGCTCTTCACAGAACTAATGCTCATTTGGAGAACCCTTAGTAAACATGAGTTCTTTTCAAGTTTGAGTATGAAAAAGATGGTATAAAATATAACACACTCTCAATCTTTGTTACAAAAGGCACATTTAGGCAGATTTAAATGTGCTGAACGTTTTGTTATCAGTGTTGAAAAGAAATCATTTAAGTGAAAAGAGCATCTGCAGGAGGTCAGTGTAATCTGCAGTAGGTAAAGGGAGCTGCTCTGGTGATGAAAGATGAGGTTACCTTCCCGCTGATCCAATATTCTTATAAATATATAAAACCTACGCAGATGAGCCTTGGAAGGGCCATCAAGACAGCAGTCTGCAGAATGAAATGTTTCAATCAGTTACTGGGTGTGTTTTTGGCTTCTATTTCTCTGTGGATGCTGCTGCCATGGCTGGTTTTATGCCCTCACGCGTTGACTTCAGCTCTTCCAGTTCTGCGTTCAGTTTGCTGATCACCCACTCCAGGGCATCCCGGCCCTGCCAAGGAAATAGCAGAGTTTAGGATTAGAACAAATACCGCACCACTGCTCGTGTTTATAGTTTTTCCTCTGTCAGACATAAGACTAGTTTTAAAATTCCCCATTCTCCATGGTTTGAAATGGGATTGTATTGATTATTTCTCATCCTACTGAAACTTCGCTACAAAGGCATTTGAGTAATCCATATGCAGGAGGTAAATGCAATACTGGTGTGAGCTCACAGCAGCACCTATGCAAAAAGCCTCATTCAGCAGTTCAGTTCCTGTAAGTAAGAGAACTGCTATTTCTACTGTCTGCTGCTCCCACCGCCTTAAGAAGACCAGTAAATTTATGGAAGAGTCTGCATATTGTTCTCGTACTCATTTATAGAGCTGTATATGGACAGTTGTTGAGAAGACCCAGGACAAAGAAAGATAGTCTTCAAGTGCTCATTGAAATAGCAACAAATTGATTTGAATTCAAGCTAGAGTTCAAAGAGATGGCCTTGCACCAAGTTCCACTAAGTAGCATAAAGCAAGCTGATGCAGAGACCGCAGCTGCTTCTTTTCTATCAAGGGACATTCAGCTCTCAGAATGGGTAGGGCATACCTCAAAGCCTGGAACTGACAGCCTGCATTTCAGTAAAAGCAGTAGAATTCAGCAAAATAAGCACATGAAAAGTCTTTTGCTTTCAGAAAACCCTGTAGCAGCTGCACCTCAGGATGAGCATGCAGCCACACAATTAAGAAAATAGAGAAGCACCTCAAACAGCTGAGCACTGGGCTTACGTGGCAGGGTTTTGGTATCAGGGAGCTGCAGGGATGGCCTCTGTGCAGAGCCCAGCAGTTGCCTTCTGTCAGAGTAGTGCCAGCTCCAGCTGCCCCAAAAGGGACTTGCTGTTGGCCAGAGCTGAGACATGAGCAACACTGGTTTGCTTTTAGTTTCTCACTCTTCTCACTCTTAGTAATAGGCAACATTTACATTAATCTCCCTACACTGAGTCTGTTTTGGCTTCAATAGTAATTGGTGAGCGATGCCCCTGTCCTTAACTCAGTCCTTGAGCCTTTTTCACCGTATTTTCTCCCTTTCTTCCTTTGAGGAGTGATAGAATAGTATGATGGAGTTCAGCTGCTCATCTTGGTGAAACCACCACATTAAGTCCAAGCGGAAGATCTTGGAGTTCCACAGTCTCATGATGACAGCTTTCGCCAAAACAAGCAGATGGGATCAGCCCGAGAAAACATGAAGGCTTTTTTTTCCTAAAGAGAAGCCAAGATACCTTTATCATTCATATCTTACTAAGAGTAGGGAGTAGAAAGCATGGCAAGTAGCTGGCACCCTCTCAAGTCTAGTCTGAAGCAAAGGCTCTGAGCCCAAAGAGTCTTCAAGAGTGCAGGTGTTCCAGGCTCCTGCTGGGACTGAGGAAAAGGGGTGAACCTCCTCTCTTCTCACAGAGTTTTGCTCTCAACTCCGATATACTGTTTTTATTGCATGCAGGATAGGTGATACGATGAACAAAAGCTTAATAATGTGCCCAGAGCCTATTTCTTGTGTCCCTTCCAAACCACTAAGCATGAACGAGAATCTGTATATAACCTTGTATATAACCAAATAACCTTGAAAACCTCCCAAAAAAAGAAAAAGTCAAAACAAAGCCCACACACATTCTTGTGAAAATGCTTTGTGCGGCTAGAAATGTTATTCTGGAATAATACTGAAAACCCAGGTTCAGGGTGCAAGATCTAATATATTAAATGAAATATAGTTTTACTATGAATAAGAGTATATTTGTCTCAAGAGTCTCATCAAGCTGAGTCAAAGGCTAACTGGTTTTCTTCAAGTTCTTTGTATCAAGAGACTAACAGAATAAACACAAAGTCCTTACAGAGAGAAAAGCCACCCACTTAACAAAACAAAGTGTTCAACCCTTGGCCAGCTTTAAACTGTCCAGTATGGCTTGCTGGAAAAATTCCTTAGAAGAGTATGAGTTATTTTGTGAGCTTTTTTGCTTGTACACCAAACTGACCATCCCTCTGCAAGTGAATACTTGAACAATTTCTGTACCCTGTGCAAGAGCTGGGAATAGCAGCAGAGCTCGTGTAGCAATACCCAGACAAAAGCAGGCTACTGTGCAGCAACAAGCTGTAACTAGCCATGAAGGAGCTGAGCCCAGCGCTCCTCCAGGAACAAAGCTGGGGCGGAGGGAAGGGATCACCTTCCTGCAAGTGTATGTTGGGTATTTAGATGTCAGGTTAAAACGTCCTTTCTTAGATGACACGCTGGCACAAAGAACTCACTAAGACAGCGATGACTTACATTGATGTAATCAGGCAAAGAAAGCTTGTCAGAAGGTCAAACAACTTTGATGTAGATAGAAAATGCTCAGTAGAAAAATTCTGAGGTTCTTCTCAGGCCCTGACGATTAACCAACCCAGTCATGTCAATAAATACATTAACTAAAATGTTAAGACAAAATTAAGTGTTCAACTAGAGTACAAGATATTTCCTTCAGCTTGTAAGACTATCTAGGTTTATATGTTCTTCCTATGCTACATGCCATAATTTGCAGCTAAGAAAAAACTTGTGATATCAGCAAGAATATCCCAGAAGGATTCTGCATAGGAAATGAAATTACAAATCTTAACAAGATGTAAAGCCTCCAAGCATTGTAGAACTACCCAGTTTAAAATAAAAACTAAGAAATCTGACAGAGGATTGTTCTATAAAGTTCATATTGTACAACAATATTTGTGGTAAGTAGCTCATTAAGCAGGCACATTCATAACCAAGCATGCATACTCATGTTTTCATTGCATGTGTTAGCAGTGTGATGGGTTCAGTAGACCAGATGCTACAGGTGTAGATTTTTTGGTATAGCTTAAGTGACTGATAAATGCTGAGCTTCTGTGGTTGACATTTTCTAGAGAAACAGCCATAAAAGCTTAGTGGAATGAGAACATAAAAGCAAGCACTCATTGCATACACTGATCTCAAAGTAAGCAGTAAAAAAAATCCCTGTGTTGTTAACAAAGAGAAGCAACAGAATGGATTAAAAAAAAAAAAAAAAAAAGGAATTTTATTAATTGAAATAGAAGATAATACAGGAATGACAGAGACAGACTTCACCGGCTAGTGGAAAGAAAACCATCCACAGAGGTATATCAGAAGCAACTATACTCTGTCCTCCCAGTCTTGAAGTCAGCTTTTGTCACAGTTGCATAGCTGAGGGGACACATCACTACCAAAAAGAAGACAACTAACAAAAGCAATGAAAACCACCACGGGAATCTGGTATTCTGCCAGCTTCAAACTCTGTTCAGATTTCCATGGAAATTGGCAGAAGGGCAACGATATTCCTGAGACATAAGAAAAGCAAATCCAAATTCACTATGTAAAAGATTACCCTTGCTAGGCAATCTGTTTTAAGAAAGCAATGTTATCAATTTCTGTTCCATTTTTGTGATGCCAATTCCAATCACTGAACCATGGATTGGTTCCCTCGGGTACCTGTTTCACACACTGAAATCACAGGGAGCGAAACCCAAACCAATGTTTGGTAGAAGAGCTCCCTGATGTGCCTAGCTAGCTGCAGCAGTGCTTCCACTTGCAGCTGGAGCACAGGCTGTGGCTGCAGCAGGTTTGCTGCCCAAGGACATGAGCACAGGTTAACTAACTGATCTATTCTGACCTACTCTGCAATGAACACGTTTGCCATTCCTGTACGTAACGTATATAAAACATACATGCAGGTTAATTCAGGACGTTCACATCATGACAACTCATGCACACATCTGCTAGAGAGCTGAAATGCTGTACCAAGAAGAATGCTGGCATTACCACTAGTTAGTACAAACTGTAGATGTGGAGAACTGCTAGCTTAGAGCGCTTTCAGAATTTTGAATTATCCACTCAATAGCATCCCACCCCTGGAGTAACACAGAAAAGATTGACAACATGTGGCAAAAGATTTGTTCATTATCAGTGCAATAGTAACGCATCATCTGCCTCATTCCCACCTCTACCTCAGAGCAACATCTCAATACTTCTCTCTGCACTTTCCTATTTTTTAAGAACAACAGTACATTTTTCAACATCTGTCACGAAGCTGTAGAAAGGTGCTAAGGATACAGAAGTGTAGCACTGCATGCTAGAAGAGCCAGTGATAGCAGGCTATGTTACTGGGTAGCAAAGACAGGGCTGCGACTACTAACTCCTGCTAAGGCTCTAAAGAGACTCTTCAGTGAAACAGGCAGGACAAGATGATCTTTTTTGTTTGTAAGAAGCTTGTGAGCCAGCATGTTATCTGAAAATGGCAGAACAGAAGAACTTCCACTAAAAAAATTAAGCTTTCACCGCAGGTGGCACATGAATACATAACATTAAATCCTCCTTCTCTCAATTCAATAGAGCTAAGCAAATTTGACAGATGGGAGGACTGCTCTTAAGCATGCCCAGTTGATGTGGCCACTCCAACTAGGTAGTGCTGTGCTAGGCTGAAGTGCAGCTGTGAGCCAGGGTCCAGACTACCATTGCAGGAACAGAACAAATACTCACACAGGCTTTTATAGGAAACTGAATGGGAAGAGGATTGTAATTTAACCAAAACACACTTCATTTATGACTGTCAAACACAGAGACTACTCAGTTTATGTTACTCACTGGTATCTAAAAATTGTCACTCCTTCCTCATCCCCCAGTTTTCACCTGTTTTCCTCTGACTTTTATAGAAGCACACGGAAGGGGCTTCCCCTTCCCTGACCTAATAGGTTCATGACTTCAGTCATGCTGGCTTACACTGCCTTCATCAAGCATCTCTCCCAGGGGCAAAGGGCTGGCCAAAGCACAGGATCTCTGGCCTAACAGAAGTTGCCTGGGCCAAATTCTCAGTGTGCTGAGTCTCTCCCAGCAATGCAGACCATATGTTCACACTTCAGTGGCACACACATCCTGGTGTTAGGCAGCGATGCCTATACATGTCCACCTACTCCACTTCTTTCCCACCTCTCAACCTTCCCCAAAGAAGAAGCACAGAACAAACTGTTTGGAATAAGCACCCTTGAAACTCTGCCTGTGCTGAAGTTCAGCTCTGTGGCTGCAAGCCAAATAGAAAAGGCAAGCGCAAGACAGAGGAGTGGGTGTAGTGTTACCTACAAAGGCCTCTGCAGACCTGGCATTATTTTCAGCCAAAGGCAAAGAGACAGCTTAATAATAGATAGGAACTGGAGCAACTCACAAAGAAGCCCAGAAAATATGCTGGCATCAACTGCTAACCCCAGATTTAAAAGGCAGAAAAGGAAGATATATCCATCCACTATTCGCACTAACTCCAGTAAACGGGTGGCTACTGTTTAAAAATGTACTTTGAAAAACAAAGACAAAACAAACTTAATAATATGTGTCTGGGATTTGTAGCTGTAGTATGCACATATAGAGGTTGGTTTGTTCTGATGTGCAGTTCTAGGTGGAGAACAAAGATTTAGGAGTGAAACCTTCTCATCCTTTGGTAAATTATGTTCTACTTCCTGAGGTACTAGAAAAAGTCAGTTGGAATTCTGTGCACAAAGTTTAAAGAAATTAAATATAGTACTCAGCACACACGCTTGACAATTACTATTTTAACAAAAGGAAAGGTGTGGGTGGAGAGAGAGAGAAAAAACTGAAGAATATGTACCTTTCTGGCATTGGAAGATATTGTGTTTGCCATTAAGCTTTCCAAATAACTGCTCAAGCTAATGCCTTTGACAGTAATAATTGCTTCTTGAGTTAGCACAGTTCTGTAAGAGAATAAAGAGAAGTTAATACTTACACTGAATTTGCCTAACATATTTTCTCCTATACACGAAAAAGCACACAAATATCCTTACTTACTTTTCAGGGTTTTCAGGATGAGGTGTGTAAACCAGTCTCTCATCAACAGACACCAAGTTTGTGAGGGTAATCTTAAAGAGAAAAAAAGATGTGAAATTCTCACATCCCATCTTTCACTTTTGTATTACTGACAGCACTGTTAAGTAGCAGAGCACTCCATTTAAAGGCAAAGACAAAGCAGCAGATGCAGAGTATAAAACCAGAACACAGTCAATAAAAAGACCTATAAAGGGCGATGCATATTGTCCTATCATAGATGTAATTGTATCAAAGTTCCTATTAACAGTAAACTGCACAAACAGCTTTCCATTTGCTCTCTTTTAAATGTCAAACCATATCTTGATTTATGGCACACAATTCAGAAAGGCTCTTTAAGACCAAGACCACTATGACATTATTCTGAGTGTACCAACAATTAATAGCAAGGAAAGCAAACACCTTTTGTACAAAGACAAGGCTCTCTCCATACAGACAACTCTACTTCAAATCTCAGAGTTGCAAGTTCCCAGGATAGCAAAACACAGCATAATACTTCATTTACACTCGTGGAGAAAAAGGCATTTCAAACTATAAGTTTTGATGCAAACAGTAGTGTAAAGCAGAACACGTCATTTGCTTTAAAGTTGAAACATCGTGTGCATCCTGAGAAAGTCTTATATTAAGAGAATCACAAATCCTTGATCCCAAAGGATTCCTGGGAAGAAGGAAGAAAAAAAAAAAGGCACCTGGAAATTGCCTCCTTCTGTTGAAAGATGTAAACTCATTGTCACATTGTTAAGAGAGACAAAATATCTAATCTCCCTCACTAATTACCAGAAGCTTCTTAAGCTGTCACTCACATTAGTTGAGCAAAGCTCCATCTTTTTTTCCACTGGATCCACAACAGAATGTTCCTCAATGTAAGTCAGAGTTCTACTTGTTCCTAAAATCTGAAAGTGAAGAAAGGCAAAAAAGAAAAAAAATAATTAAAAAGTTAAGTACAATTCACAAACACAAAACCACTGCTACCTGTGGCAGGACTACAGTGCTATGTTGCATCAGTGATACAGAGTGACACAAGACCAGCTCAGAAGGCATGCACAGACAGGCTGCATATTGCAGCCTACAATGCATTCTTGCTATGCACCACACTGATTACAGCTTACGTGATATCTGTGGATGACATTCCCAATAAATCAAGTTTTTACTTGGAATTCAGTGCCAGTTCACGTGACGACACAGAAATGCATCACACCCTCAATAAACCGTACCGCTTTTACAATACTTGGCAATCCCCATTCTGTGCTGAGCAGACGGTGGCTGTGCAGCCTCCCCTGGTTGTCAAGGCTTCTGTTGAGGACATCTACTCCTACTACACATGGGTTCATTGGGTTGGGGTACTTTCTCATAGCAGCTTTGATCACTGTATCCCAGGGGTGCCTGGAGAAAGAAGAGGAGACAATTATTTATGACTAGTTTGGATTTAATTGCAAGCATTTGGGAACCCTAAATCAGGGCTCCAGCTTTCTTAGCATGGCACGTACTGCACATCTTCACAAGCTCCCAAATATCCCTTCAGAATTAACTGATGCTTGGAAAGACCATCAGGAAGTGTTAGTACGCAAACAGGAAAACAACATATATTCCTTTATGGAGAACAAAGAAAGGAATGATTAACCCATGACTAACAGAAGTAAGGGCAAAGGGCAACAGTCACAAACAGCTACATGTGACGTTCCAATTAGCTATATAAAAAACATAGCATCAGGGTGGATGACCACAGAGTTTGCTGAACCTCCATCCGCCTCCAAACTCAACTGACAAAGAAACCCTGCAGTCAAGTCAGCCCTGCTCTGAGAGGGAAGCTGGAATAGGTGGTTGCCAGAAGTCCATTCCAATTTAAATTCTTCTGTAATTATAAGTGCACCAAATAAAAGAGAACAGAAGTTATCAGCTTGGAGTTGAATTTGACTTAAAAAAAAATAAATAAAAGTAATCAGGAAGTTCAAAATAAAGAAACAGATTTCGAGAAACCACACCACATTGGGGAGGGCCTTTTTATAAGGGCAGGTAGCGACAGGATGAGGAGAAACGGCTTTAAACTGGCAGAGGGTAGATTTAGAGTAGATATTAGGAAGAAATTCTGTACTGTGAGGGTGGTGAGACACTGGAACAGGTTGCCCAGTGAGGCTGTCAATGTCTCCCCACCCTCGAAGCACTCAGGGCCAGGCAGGATGGGGCTGTGGGCAGCCCGGTCTATGGGAGATGCCCCTGCCTATAGCAGGGGTTGGAGCTAGATGATCTTAAAGGTCCCTTCCAACCCACGCCATTCTATCCTTCAGTTAACGACTCTGCTGCCTTAAGCCCGTGCTCTCCCTTCTACTCCCAGCAGCTCGTTAGCACGCATTGCTGTTACTCTTCTCAAAACGGAACTGTTTCTATTTCAAAAGTTCAGAGAGCATCAAGCTTCGGTAATCGCAAACTGCCGGGTGGGGAGCAGCCCCACTACGGCAGGACGGCGGTTCGTATCTCTTGTGGCGGGAGCTCTGCACGTCCCGACAGAACGACCCAGCACAGCGCCCAAGGGACGCCAGCCGGCGCACGGGACGCCTCCACGGCCGCCGCCTGCCGCCTCGCTTCTTCTCGCCTCGCAGCTCGCGGCTCGCTCGCTTATCGGGGTAAGCACAGCTCCCTCCCCCGCCATTTACCGCCCGCTCGCCGCCCCCTACCCGAAGACGTGCTCCGAGCTCCAGATTTTCATGGCCGCCGCCGCTGTTTCCTCAGGCGGAGGACGCGGCGCGAGCTCTCCGCCCGCAGCACGCGCCGGCCGGCAAACGGGAGGGCGGGGCCTCGCCGCGCCGGGGAGCGTCACGCGATGACGTCACCGCCCGGCCGGGCGCTCCCTCAGGCGGAGCCTGGCGCGGCCCGTCTTCCGCTCCGAGCCCGCCCCGCGTCTGCGGCCGCCGGAAGTGACGCGATGACGCCGGGAGGCGGGCGGAGCGCGAGGGGGCGGAGCGGCGGCGTGACGGCGGAGCGGCGGCGGCCACGGGACGGCCGTCGGGGCCATGGCGCAGCGCTACCTGCTGCTGGCGCTGGGCGGCCGGCGACGGCTGCCCGGGGTGCTGCTGCAGCAGCTGCTGTGTGGGAGAGGCCTGCTGCCGCCGCGGCCCTGCCCGGCACAGGTGAGCGACGGCCCGCGGGCGGGGCGGCTCCGTGTGCGCGCGGGCCCGTCGGCGGCCGCGGAGGGCGGCCCGCGTTTGCCCGGTGCCGGCCCTCGGAACGGTGCGGGGCCGGGGAATGGGCGTAAATACGGAGCCGGAAGCGGCAGCGGGGCCCCGGCGGGGGAACTTTCAGCGGGGGGTGCGAGATCAGCCCGGTGAGCTGACGCCGGGGTGCGGGTTGGGAGCCTTCAGGCCGGCGGTGAGTGCCGAGTGGGGCTGGGCGGGCGTCAGCCCTTCGTACGGTGGCTCGGTTGTGGGGTGGGCGTTACCCTCATCGGCCCCGACGTCACGGAGGAACCAGGTACGGGTCTACGTTAGCGCTTGGCAAAAGGTTGTTGCTGTCCTGCGTCAGCGATAGCTTAGGCAGGGTGCTGGGTGTAATTGTGGTGACTGCGAGAGCTGCTGCGGCTCCTTGCCTGCTGGGCTGTCCGTGCGGAGGGGGGTAGCTGTGAGAGGAACGCACGCAGGGGTGTAAGTGACTTGCCCTAACGATTAGTGATTTTCTAGTTGGAATTGTGTTTGCATGGTCATGGTTAGGAGATAAGAAAAATAAAACAGCAGTGCTGCCGGTTTTTCTGAAGACTGGTTCTCTGTCTCTACTGTCGGTAGAGTATAATGGATTCTTATTGGGAATTAAGAAATAGTGGAGGAGCAGAACGGTGGTCGTTCCTCTGTACTCAGCAGTGATGGAGCTGCACCTCGAGTGCTGTGTTCAGTTTTGGGCCCCTCGCTGCAAGAAAGATATTGAAGCCCTGGAGTGTGTCCAAAGAAGGGCAGCAAAGCTGTGAGGGGTCTGGAGCACAGGTCCTACAAGGAGTGACTGAGGAAGCTGGGACTGTTCAGTCTGGAGAAAAGGAGGATCAGGAGAGACCTTATTGCTATCTGCAGCAACCTGAAGGGAGATTGTGGTGAGGTGGGGATCAGCTTCTTTTCTCAGATATCTAGCAGTATCATAGAATCGCAGAATTGTAGGGGTTGGAAGGGACCTCCAGAGATCATCGAGTCCAACCCCCCTGCCAAAGCAGGTTCCCTACACCAGGTCGCACAGGTAGGCGTCCAGGCGGGTCTTGAATATCTCCAGAGAAGGAGACTCCACAACCTCCCTGGGCAGCCTGTTCCAGTGCTCCGTCACCCTCACTATAAAGTAGGAGAAGAGGGAATGGCCTCAAGTTGCTCCAGGGGAGTTTCAAGTTAGATATTAGTGGAAATTTGTTCTCAAGGAGTGATGAGGCCCTGGCACAGGCTACCCAGGGAGGTGATGGAGTCACTGTCTCTAGAAGTGTTCAGTAACCATGTGGGTGTGACACTGAGGGAAATGGGTTAGCAGACAGGGTGAGGATGGGTTGATGTTGGACTAGATGATCTTTTCCAACCTTAAAGTTGCTATGATTCTATATCTATGCTATGGGGAGAACTTCATATTCTTTCCAGCATCCATGTGTTTCTATGGGTAGTAAAACAAGATAAATAACTTACCTGAAATTAGATTTATTTATTTATTGCCAGCTTGGTTTCTTTTTCTCAGCATGCTCTTATGTAGTATTTCAGTCAAGGTTAGATAATGGAGATAACTTTTGACTGTGTTTTCATTCTTTAAGAACCACGAATTGAAACTTGTATATGGATAAAGCTTTAAACTTGTAACTTTCCTGAATTACTGTGTGTTTGATCCTTCATTTACAGGAAGTGTGGCTTTTCTGTTCTTGCTTTGTGTATCCTTGATGTAAGGCAAACAAAGATGGATTATGGTCACAGTGTTTCTGCAAAGTCAGTAGCTCTGCTTTCTTTTAAATTACGTATTTTATTTAAGGTTGGAATTGTGGAGAAGGTCCTTCAGAAGGTGCTACAGATCCTGTGTTTGTTATACTCAGGAGCAGTAACACTTTCACCTCACTTCTAAGGTATTTCAGTTGTAAAACTGACTCCTGTATGCTTCAAACTTGGTTGTCTTGAATTTCTATTTAAAATAGTCTTGATTTTTAGAAAGATGTCACGTTTACCTGAAAAAAAAAATATATAATGGCACGTGTGCATGCTCTTTCTCTGCTGTGACAGTTCTTTCATCTCTGACTGGGAGAAGCTTGGCAGTTTCCTGATGCCTACCCCAGAACAGCCCCTGTGCTACCTAAGCATCCTGTCAAAACGGGTGCTGTTTGCCTTCCCTGTCCTTGGGCAGTGGGCGTGCTTCCATCTGCTGAGGTTGCTGTGGCATTTCCACAGCCAGCCAGCTTGAGGACAGCTCTTGTATCAGAACTGATACAGCTTTCATCTTGGTGATTTACCTTGTCAAAAAATAACCCCAAGTGGTCGTTACCATTGCAGTTTGGTTCTACCAACTTCTGCTTTTCTGGAATGAGATGGTGAAAGGAAACTACGTTTGCAGGGAATGGGTTTTGATGAGTCAGTAGGTAGTATAAAAGCGTGCTGTCAGTCAGGTGGTGTACTGAATGTGCCGTAAAGGTGATTCTTTCCTCTTCTCACAAAAACAACTTTAAAACGCTCACTTCTGCATAATAAATGTATAGTTGCCTGTCAAGTTATTACTCATAGATCTTAGGATCTGTTGAGAATGTCCAGCAATAAACCAGTTGTATTCATCAGGTCTTCCCCCAAAGCTGTGTCAGCTACTTTTTCCCTCTCCCTGCATGCCTCCCTCCCTCTCCAACTAGAAATCTGATAAAAATGTGAATTAAGGCTGTAATAAGCCTATGCTGGCCCTGCCACACCAGGCAGTTGGATTTGGCTTACTCAGACTTTCATTTAAATCAAGCAGTTACCTTTTATTTCTAATGAGATGGGAGCATCCAGTAATGTTCATTCCAGTTAAAACAATCTGAGCTTGTGGAATAAATAAATCTTTATTTTTTGTTATTATAGGAGGCCAGCAACATAGAACAGAAGCGAGTATTTTGGACATTGCTTTTAGTTTCATCTGTTGCTGCGTTCACTGCCTGTTGGCATTTGAAGTAAAGATAGATTGGTCAGTGACAGGCTCTATTTTTCTTTATTTTTTTCCCATAGAGATTCATCCCAGTTGTCCCAAAGCCTCTTCCAGGAGCACACGTGCTATTGCTCGTGGAGGTGATAGCGTATTGACCTTGGAAGCTGCTCTCTAGATAAGCTGTTCTCCAGGCTACCCATGCTGTATGTGCATTACATGAAAAATATCCTTCCGAATTTCCAAAATCAGACTTTTTTGCAAGGATCTGCAATGGCTGCATCAGATGGCCAAAGAATTCTTCTTAGCACAGTCGCAAAAGCAAGCAACAAAGACGTTTTGGCATTCTTCTTGGTTCCAGCAGGTGGAACTAGATGACTGCTCACAATAGATCTGGTCTGTTTCCTCAGTTAATAAGCTCCCAGGTAGAAGACTTACGGAGAATCAGAAGTGACAATCTGCCAGTGTTCCTAGAGTAATTTGGGTGTGGAATCCAGTACCCTTTGTGTTTTTCTTAATGCACAGGTTTTGTTTAAAACTGCTATATTCAAATTTTAACAACTGTCATAGGGATTCTAACTTTGAGGCTTACTTCATACATGTAGTCCCAGGCTTTTTAGGCTAGATGGATATTTGCTATGTTGTCTGAGTACCATGAGTTTTCAAGTTTTCAGGACCTTTCTGTAATATCTTTTTTTCTACTCATTCTCATATAAATAACTTCTGATCCAAAATAACAGGAGTCTCAGCACTCCTTTGGGACAAAAGGAAATGGAGGCAGAGATAGTTTTTATTGGTGTTTGGTCTGTGGGGAAGTCTTGATACGAACATTTGTTTTTGGAGGTAGGGTGTAAAAAGCTTGGATTTTCTTTTACCTAAAAATGTCTTTGAAGAAAGGGAACTTGAACTGTGTGATGACATTATACTCTACTCCATTTTAAAAGAAAGCTTTAGGTATTGTAACCAAATACTTTAAAATGCTTGTATTTCCTTCATTGCACTTCAATGGCAAACATCACTAGACAATCTTATTGGCTTAAGCTGCAGTAGTTTAACGTGGATCTGTACCTACACAGGAGTTTGGGTCTACTCTTTAAAGCATTGTTCCTTTCCGTGTTGGTTTCCTAGCTGGGCATAGGTGTTGTCTGATGCATTCCTTTTGGTTTCAAGGGGATCTTAACTACAGGGAGAAGGTTGCAGTTCTTTCACAAAAAGTGCCTCAGCATTGTATGCATCATTCTTTCTTGCTGCTTACATTTATTTTTCATCTTTCAGCTTCATGAAAGTGCTTCCACCGGTATTACGACTGACAGAAGGACAGTCTTGGCAAGTGTCATTGCTGCTTGCAGAAGGCTCTTCTCACAACCTCCCAAAGGTGACTGCAACTCTGATCACTGGAGTGAAGCGGGCTGCTGAGGATGATGCTCATGTGCCACTTAGGTTTATTGTGTACAAGGCAGTAAGCTCTTTTATTAACCAGCCATTAATCTGGAAGTGGACCAGTGATTTATAGTATTTTTAGCCATAAACAGAGCTGACTGCAGTTTGCTCAACTTAACACTGTGCAGCACCATTTTCTGTTGAACTAAGCTTGTCTGTCTCTGGTTTAAAGGACAGCTGTAAGCTATTAAAGTTTTTGATACTGAGTTTTTCAGTATCAGTAGGATAAGATATATTTATGGGAACCTGATAGAGCTCTTCAGCAAAAGGACAAGAACAAGGCCATATTCAGCAGTTAATGTATTGCTTCTTTTTTTTACATTGTATACATT